CAATGAATAGGGAAGACCGAAGAAGAGTTGATGCTTTTGAGTTGTGGTGCTGGCAAAGAATGCTGAAAATACCATGGACTGCTGAAAGAACAGATCTGTCCTGGAGGAAGTGCAGCCAGAATGCTCCTTGGAAGCGAGAATGGCCAGACTTCCTCTCACCTACTTTGGTCATGTTGTCAGAAGGGACTATTTCCTGGAGAAGGATGTCATGCTTGGCAAAGTGGAGGAACAATGAAAAAGGGGAAGGCTCTTAACGAGATGGATTGACACAGTGGCTGCAACGATGGGCTTGGGTGTATCAAGGATCATAGGGTAACAAGGTTACTATGAGTCAGAGACGACTCAATGGCACCTAACAACAGCGATGACACCACCACCACAGGGGCCTGCAAGTGGCAGTCTTCAAGGGCACACCCCCACCTTTATTTTCTGAGCTTCTCTGATTTTCAGACCAAACTGGAGTCTCTGGGTGTCACTGCACCTGGTCTTCCCCAGCGTCCACGGTCCCTGCTTGTGCAGCATCCTCAGACCCCACGTGGTTCTGGTCACGGACTCTCTGGGTGTTGTTGCACCTGCTGTCCCCCAGCATCCACAGTCCCTGCTTGTGCAGCATCCTCAGACCCCACGTGGTTCTGGTCATGGGCTCTCTGGGCGTCACTGCACCTGGTCTTCCCCAGCGTCCACGGTCCCTGCTTATGGATGGCCATGGTATCCCCTCCACCCACAGTCATTCGTCTAATGAATATCTCCCTGAAACTGGAAGGCACACTGAAGACAAGACAACTGGCGTTTGCACCATTTTTATGATGTCTGAAGGGGTAATGACATGACATTTCAGGGTTTCCCAAAGAAAACTTACCCACTGCCGTGAGGCCCTTCCTATCATGGCCCGCAGGACACAGCAGAACTACCCACTAGGATTTCCCAACCCACAAAGTTTACAGAAGTGTCATTCTCCTCCACAGGAGCTGGTGGGTTTGAAATGTCAACCTTTCGGTGCACAGCCAAGTGCTTAACCACTGCACCATCACAGCTCCTTCCAAAGAACGGTCACTATGTATATGTAACACCATGCCAAGAGAGCGAGGGCTTGTGTGCACCTGGTAGCCCATGTGCAGCACCCTGGGCAAGCTCGCTGCTGCCAGGGTACCACCTATGGACAGATGTGGCACACACTGCCCCGCCACCTCCAGCAATCCAGTGAGGAGGCCTCGGGATGTCCACTCCACAGATGAGAACGCAGGAGCGATAGCTGGACCACGGTCACACAGCTCGAAGGGGAGCTGGAAAGCAAACCCAGGCCTGCAGCTCAAGAGCATCAAGTGGCATGCAGCCCTCAGCAGGCCAGTCCACCACCCCACACGGGCACGAGCCAGCCCACCCAGGCCCCAGGGAGGCCTCGGCCTATCCCTTCATGTGGGAAAGAAACAATGGGGACAGCAAACTTCCTACAGCACTTCCTGTGTCCAACATGACTCTCCCCACACTACATAGTCTCAACCACTTCCTGTGTCCAACATGACTCTGCACACCACCTAGTCTAGATTGGTTCCGGTGTGCACACGACTCTCCGCACAATATAGTCTCTACCACTTCCTGTGTGCAATGACTCCCCACACTACGTAGTCTCCACAACTTTCTGTGTGTACATGACTCTCAGTGCACCACGCAGTCTCCACCACTTCCTGTGTGTACATGACTCTCTGCACACTGCGTAGTCTCCACCACTTCCTGTGTGTATGACTCCCCACACTATGCAGCCTCCACCACTTTCTGTGTGTACATGACTCTCAGTGTACCACGCAGTCTCCACCACTTCCTGTGCGCGTACAACACTCAGTGTACCACGTAGTCTCCACGACTTCCTGTGTGTACATGGCTCTCTGTACACTACGTAGTCTACACCACTTCCTGTGTGTATGACTCCCCACACTATGTAGTCTCCACCACTTTCTGTGTATACACGACTCTGCACACTACATAGTCCCCACCACTTCCTATGTCCAATATGACTCTTTGCATGCTAGGTAATCTGGATGACTTCCTGTGTCCAACACGACCCTCCCTACACTGCACAATTACGACCACTTCCTGTGTGCACATGCCTCTCAGTACTCCACTTGGTGTCAACCACTTAATCCTACCATCTGGGAGGGAAGGGCTGTTATTCTCCAAATTGGAGAGATGGCATCCGACTGTGAGGTCATGTTCTTGATCACTGTGAGGCTGCTGCTCCCACACAGCAATGCTCCAAAGAGAACAGGGTAGGAAGTGGGGTCCCCACCACACTGCTCTCATGCTCCACCTCAAGCTGGGCTATGCTCCCCAGGCTGGGTCACAGGTCTGCACCTCAAGGCCCAGCATGAGCTGACGTCTGCGACAGTAGCCAGCACAAGACTAGCACTAGAGCTGCAGAGCAGCAGGCCCTGACCCCGACTCCCGGGCCCTGTAATTTGAGCGGGGCACGGATGAGGGCCCCAGAGCAGCAGCACAAGCAGGTCAGGAGGACCATGTGACTTGCAGGTACAGTTGCATGGTTTATTATTGATGAAACAGGCCAGGTGCCCTCATCACAGTGAGGCTGGGTTACCCATAAGCAGTTGCCCTAGTTACCTCAGTCCACTAGATCTGCCAAGTTCAAGAACACAATCCCTGTTCACCTGAAAAAAAAGCAACAGGGTACCGAAGAGAACCAAGAGAGGACTGACACACGAGACGTTCGGGACCCAGGGAGTCAATGACCGTGGTTCCTTGTTGGAAAGTGGGCATTTCTTTTAAAAATACCTAGCAGCTTGGCCATCTAATGTCCTAAGAAGTTCACAGGTGAAAAGGATAGGACAGAAGGGTGAAGGGGAAAAGGAAACAGAAAGCAAGCAGCACTGATCCAGTGGGGGCGACCGCAACCAACGTCCCGAAACAAAATGGGCAGGAATTATCGCCCACCAAACCAATTTGCTCTGGAGACTTTCACCCAAATCACAACTTAAAGAAGAGTTTCCAGCTGAGCCTCCCATATAAACTCACGAGCTTAACGGTATGCTAGTTTTATAAGCCAACACAAAGCGACTCAAACTTCAGTCAAAGAACCTGGTGACGGGGTGGGTCTCCTGGCCAATGACTGCGTTCAGAGTTCACGCCATCTGCCCAGCCATGAAGCCAGAAGTCTGCAGACGGTCATCGTGTATCCCAGCCAAAGCCCAGGGCCATAGCCCCTTAACTAGCTACCACACCACGGCACCTGGCAGGTGTGTCAGCACAACCTCCGTCGCTCATGCCCACGGTGGTACCTCTGCAGCCCCAGGCCGCTGCGCTCCAGCCACACCTGGACCAGCCCAAGGCCCGCCTTCTTGCCAGGCTGAACTTACGACTTCTTCCAGAACCCTCAGGGGCTCCCCAGGGCTCCAGGGTGACCCTAACCCTAACCCTCTGCCTGCTCCCCACCTCCCCTAGCACAGCCTCCTCTCCTGCCAGAGTACAGACACTGCCTCCCCTCCTGCTGCCTGCCTGCCTCCCCTCCCGCCTCCCCTGCAGCCTGCAGCTCCACTCTCTCCCCTCCCCTCCTGCCGCCTCCCCTGCCCTTCACACCTCCTCTCCTGCCTCCCCTCCCGCCTCCCCTGCAGCCTGCAGCTCCACACTCTCCCCTCCCCTCCTGCCGCCTCCCCTGCCCTTCACACCTCCTCTCCCACCTCCCCTGCAGTTCCACACTCCCACCTCCCCTCCTGCCTCCCCTGCCTCCTTCACACCTTTCCCAGCTGCCTTTCCCTGGCCTCCCCTCCTCCCTCCCCTCTATGCTCACCTGGCTCCCGCCCCCCACCCGGGCCTGTGGGGTTCCTCTGGGGCTCCAGCTCTGCCTCGAAGCAGCCAGCTAGTCCTGTGATGGTCCCTGGGCCTCTGTGCTCCCTTACAAGATGCTAGTCAGGAACAGCAGCCTCCTCTGGGGTGGCTGCTGATGCCCCTCAAAGTGCTGCAGGTGGTCAGCGAGCACGCTCCGACTCTCAGAACCCCCGGGCGCAGACCAGGAACACCCAGAGGGTTTGCAGGGTGGTGGCCATTCACAGGTGGATGCCCAGGCCTCTCTCCCGGATGCCTCTAGGTCAGGCCGAACCCCAGCCTGTTGGCTAGTGATTGCGCACTGAGTCGTCTGCCCCACCCAGGGAGGCCAAAGTGGCCCACGGTGACTGCCCACCACTGTCCTCACCACCCCCACGCCCAGCCCTCACACCACCTGCCAGGGGCTCGGCCTGCTCAGCTGTTTCCTCACGAGAGGGCGCTCCAGCGCACGTGCTGGCCACGAGGGGCCCTCCAGCTGGTCAGCTCTCTCCCAGCCGAGCAGGCGCCCAGCCCTGAGCGGGTGCTGAGTTGACCGAACAAGCCGCCCAGGAGCACAGGCCGCAGCTGGAGAGGGTGAGGCCACGGGGCGGTGCCCAGCACCAGGTCAGCGTGGGCTGAGAGAGGCTGGGGAGGCTGGCTGCCAGTGCTAGAGGCTGCAGTGACACGAGGCAGGGCACCGAGAGGCTCCAGCCCTGGGCTCGCTGTGTCCACACGTGAGCCCCAGAAGGCGAACTCCTACACCAGGTGCCAGTCTCACCCCACAGGGCTGGGCCTGGGCCCCACCCCCAGAGAGGGGGTCCGCACTGAGGAGCCCTGCCTCCCCCAGGGCTGGACTGGCAGGCTCCCCTCCTGTGCGCCCAGAGGGTCGGAGAGGAACAACACCTCACCAAAAAAAGGGATAGCATCTTCCTCATTGCCACATCTGCAACTATCACAAAAGCCCATTACAGGAGATGAAGACAAGACCAGTGTGTGAGCGGCACTGCGCCAATGCCTGTTACGGGCTGCAGGGAATGGCAGAGGTTAGCACGGGGCCACCCATGCTCAGCCGACTTCAGTCTGAGGAAGCCGGCGTCCACCCTGAAGCTGTGGGAAAGGGCACTGTTGCGAGGTCGAGAGGGGACGCCGGACCCCAGCACTGTCCCGCCGGGTCCCCAGGGCTCACATACCTTTTGGGTTTTCTTTGGCTCCTTCTGAGCATTCTCCCGGAGCGGTGCTTTTGCAAACAACTTCCATCCCGAGTCACCGTGCTTGTCACCTCTTGCGCAGTGTTTCCTAGCAAGCACACCCCTAGAGGAAGAAAACACAAGGGTTAGGGAGTTTCGGGCACGGACAGAGAAGGGCACAACCAAGCCACTCTAACAAACACACAGAATGCGTGTGAGACGCAAGGGGACGGACAGAGAAGGGCACAACTAAGCCACTCTAACAAACACACAGAATGCGTGTGAGAGGCGAGGGGACGGGCCGCACACTCAGCTCCTCAGGCTGCGCTTTCCTGTAGACAGAGCTGTGTGGCCGGAGGAGGCCTGCCCCCCCGATGACTCCTGTTCCATAAGGATGTGTACAGATGCTCCCACTTTGGGGTAAAATGTGTTTAATCAAAACAGAGCAGACCAGATGGGTGGACACCCCTGCTCCTCCACTCCCCACCATGTGACGGTGAGCCTCACTGTCTCGTGTTCACAAGGCCCACTCATGTGTCATAGGGTTTCAGGAAGAATTAAAACTTCAAGCCTACAGTCTCTGCTTCTAGAGGGACAGCTACGTGGAAACTTAACCTCTGAGCTCGTTTAAGCCAGCGACACCGTAACTGCATGTCGTGTGCATCAAAGCCAGAGGCCCTGGGCCTGCAGGGTAAGCACACAATTTCCAGCAGAAGCGTGGGCGAGACAGGCCCTCCCGGAGGCTGCTGGGAGGTCAGGCCGTGTATATGTTTCCAAAACGTCACAGCAGCTCTACTCTGCTCACCTGGGGCAGCCGTGAGCTGGAAACGATGACAGATAGGCAGAGAAGGACACAGGCACAAGACGGATGAAGGAAGGAGCACTCGCAGAGTATGACGGGAAGTACTTCCCCACAGCAGGACGCCAACTACCAGCACAGAGAGACAGAATGACCCACGGAGCCAGGAAATGACCAGCCAAGACGGAAACCAGCGAGTGAGGATCTGAGAGAGCACGGAACCTTTGCAAGGTGTCCAAGGTTCTCCCCCAAGTCACCTGTTAACCACAAAGGCAGCATCAGTAAGCCTCCCCCTGGAGAAGCCGGGCAGACACCACCTCACCCAGCTGCACAGACTGCCAGCCACCCCCACCACCAGTGGTGCTGCTGTCCCGAAAGGCACCCCTGAATCTCATCACGAGGCGGCAACCCCCAAACTGAGGGCATCCAGAGAGTAATGGATCTGTGTCCCTGAGCAGCACAAGCAATGTGCTACCCGCCATCCAGCAGCACGAAGGAACAGAGGCCTGGTGACCTGCTCCCAGTAAGGTTACAACCAGGAAAACCCAGTGGTAGTTGGACTCTACCACTCGAGGCCACCGTGACTCGGAACAACTCGACGGCAATGAGTGGGGTTCTGTTCTTTTACTCTTCAAAAATGCCAGCATCACTAAAGACACAGAAAGGCTGAGTGACGTCCACAGATGGAGAGACAGTGGAAGGAACGCGTGATCCCAGGCAGCGTCCTGGACCATGAGAATAAGCTACTGGGAACACTCCACGGGGACAGCTCTGCAATAGGAACACAGACTGCACATCGGGTAGCAGCGGTGCATCAACGTGCACTGTCCTGATACAGGGCACCATGCTACGGGTAAGCAGGAGAAAGTCCTTCTTCTCAGGAACAAGATGAGATAGTCAGGAGTGAAGGGGCATGTGTGTCCTACTCTTCTAATGGTTCAGAAAACATGCGTATGTGTTACACAGAGCTGTAGAGGGATCTAAGAGCTCTGTGGGTGCTTCAGGTAAGGCATTAGCTGCTAACCAAAAGGTCCAAAGTTCAAACCCACCAGCCGCTCCACAGAAGAGACAGGGAAATATGCTTCTGTAAACACTGACAGCCTAGGAGACCCTGTGGGCAGTTCCACTCTGTCCTCTAGGGGCGCTGTGGGTCAGAATGGACTTAATGGCAGTGGGTGTGGTTTAGGCTTTGCTTCTGTGAAGACTGACAGCCTTGGAGAACCTGTGGGCAGTTCCACTCTGTCCTCTAGGGGTGCTCTGGGTCGGAATCAACCCCATGGCAGTGGGTGTGGTTTGGCTTTGCTTCTGTGAAAAAACCAGGACCTTGGTGGCATAGTGCCTAAGGGATTTGACTGCTAACCAGAAGGCTGACAGGTCAAATGCACCAGCCACTCCTCAGAAGGAAGATTGGGCAATCTGCTTCCGTAGAGATACTGCTTTGGAAACCCAAGGAGGAGTCACTGTGACTCAAAATTGACTGGGTGGCGTGAGTTTTGTTTTGTTTTGTTTTGAGTTCTGTGAAGATTGACAGCCTTGGAAACCCTCTGGGGTATTCTCCGCTGTCTTCTATGGGCGCTACAGTCAGGATCAACTCAATGGCAGTGGGGTTTATAGATGGATTTCGAGAGATCTCTTGTCATCAAGTCAGTTCTGACAGATAATGACATTATAGGACAGGACACAACTGTCCCATAGTGTTTCCAAGGCTGTCACTCTTTTGGGAGGAGACTGCCACATCTCTCCCACGGAGCAGCTGGTGGGTTAGAATCACTGACTTGATTTGCAGCTGAGCACTTAACCACTGCTCACCAGTGAAACAGCACCTAGCAAACCTCTAAAGCCAGGGCACTTGTCATAGTCACGGCTGACAAGGTCTGGCTCAAAAGGGCACTTAGTAACAGGCTCCCGCATTCCTTCTGACTGGGCTTCTTCCCTTCATACACACGGCCCTCCGGCTGGGTGGAACCAGGAGACCCTGCCACCCGCGATCATCTCATCTAACTGGCCTGGCTCTTGCCCCAAGCCACTCTAAGTAAACAAGGGTGGAGGTCAGGAATGTGACTGTAGGAGGAAGTCTTCTCAAGATAGAATTGCTGATGATGTACCTACCCACCTTGTGGCTGTAACCACATTTCTTTGACATTTCTGGTACAATGTGAGATGTGAAGGCATGCTATTTTCAGTGGCCTCCAAGAATCCAGGATCTGCAGCTTTGGCACCAGTGTGGGCTCCATCATCCCTACATCTCGACTGACTCTCGAGAGCCATCCCAAGTAAAAGGTTTCTTCAAGCCCTGCCTCCTTGCATTGACACCCTCAGGATTTACCGCTGGACTTCTGTGTACCCCCATTTTCACTTTACACTCTGAACGTTTTGTGAGCCTGCCACCAAATTAAGTTTGGCACAGCTGTTGTCACTATTCTCCCAAGCCTAATAAGCCACAAAAAT